GCCCTGGCCGCTGCAGACGGGCTAAACTCACACCCTTAACTCTCTTAACGTAAAACACTGGACTAAAAGAGAATATTTAAACAGGAGTTTTTTTTTTAAGTGTTGATGGAGAGAAAAGAGAAAAGTGTTTTTTTCATTTGAACTCCGTTCTGATTTCTGTCAGACTGACTTTATTCGCTGGATGAAAGACGATCGTATCTCAGGATCCAAACAGACTGAGAAACCAAAGGACCACCAACATCTCTCCGCCTGATTTCCATCACAAAACGCATCTAAAAATGTTGCTAAATGAAAAGACTTTTTTATATTATCATTATTTGTATTTTTTCTTCACAAACAAGTTTGAACCTTTTTATTTTTTCTGGCTCCTATGGATCCTCAGGCGGCACATAACCAAAGCCTTGGATATCCTCCCGTCTTCTCTGCAGAAGAACTTTCAGACGCATTTCTTATTCTCTGTCAAGTTTCTGGGATGTTTTGCTTCTTTCAGATAGTTCAGCTCTTTGTCTGTAAGCCGTTCAACCTGAGCTGCATTTATACAGGATGTTCTAAAGGCCTTAAAATCACCATGTTGAATAGATTAACCACCCCTGACACCCATCTCCATCCTCAGCCTCTTCACTCTCTCTTCTGTCCAGCCTGTTATATTGAGCCCAGTCAGTTAAACTAACTCGCCTTATGAATCTCTTCCATCCACTCAGATTCACTGTTTGTTATGTTAACTTTTCATTCCTGTCCTCATAAGGTCACCACGTCTACAGGCTCTAACACATGCGTCCACAGCAGCGCACAGATCACGCTGCCATCGGCAAACATCCCTGCATCAACCGCTCTGTCCAACTGCAACAAAAAGGACTTTTAAAAAGGTTATTCTAAGTTTACCTTCAGGGAAAGCAAAGTAAATAATTACCACATTCTTTTAATAATACATTTTTGTAATATTCAGAGATCATGTAAAACGACACATTTCCAATCATAAATGTTGCTTTTTTTCATGAAGTTGCCAACGAGGAAAACAAATACCAATTATGATGATTTTATATCCCATTGTCACTGCAACTATTCTTAAATAATACATCATTTTATCTTTTTAGCTTTTCTTTGGTATATATTTTTCCATATTCCACAACAGCAGCCCGCTTATTAGTGCACCGTGCCTTTAAGCTGTGTGCAGAATGTGGTTTTCCGTTGTCTGCATAAACTCATTGGGACAGACGTAGCCCTATAAAATATATATATATAAAATATATCTGCAGGAACTTTCATCATTAATGGCAGAAATGAGCCTAAAACAATCTGTGCCATTAATATTATTACTGCAGTACAATAATAAAGCCTAGAATGCCGCCATTTTCCTTCTTAGGCTGAGAACACATGAAATACTGATCAATCAGCCACTGATCCATGTTCCAACTCTGGTCCCATAAAACTCTGTTTCCATGTTTAGTTAATGCAACTATTTCTTATTTCTGCACATTAATTATGTTTTTGATTAAAATGCCATCAGAACGCTGATAATATTAAGTGTGTCTCAGCCCCCCCCCTTTAGTGTCCACCATATTGGATCAGTCCATTTGCTGCACATGTTCAGAAAGGTCCAAACAGACAGCAGCAAACCATTTGAAAACAAACCATGCAAAGAGCAGTGTTGCCAACTTAGCGCTTTAGTCGCTATATTTAGCCACTTTTCAGACCCCTCTAGCACTTTGATTTCTAAAAAGCTCCTAGCGCCAAATCTAGAGACTTTTTTCTGCTACTGGAGACTTTGGAGACAACATCTAAAAGCAGCGAACTCTGCTCTCCAGAGCGAGTAGATTGGTAACCCCGCCTCCTGCTCTCCTCTATCTTGTCTGCTGTCATGATTCATGCAGCTATTATTTCATCCAAATGAAAAATGGAGAACAGATAAGCAGATCATGGCTTGTCTACAGTGAAAAGAAGGACTGGGTTATTTACTTTGGCCTTTTTGGAAACACAGGAAGGAGCAATCAGCTAAGTGAGCTTAGAGCTATGTGTTTTCTTCTCCATTTAGAGGGCCCCTGCCTGTATTTGCCTAGGGCCCCAGAGTTCCTAAATCCGCCCCTGGTTGCGGGCAGAACAGCCACTTTGGGGAGTTGGATTCTATTTACTTCTTTAATCTGTAGTTTTCTCAAACATCCTCAGAAATAAGCAGTTTAACAGAAGCCTGTAACGCAGCATCCACCAGCAGCAGTGCCTCTGCACAATGTTTGGTCTTTGATCCGTCGGTAACTGATGACGCTTCAGAAAGCCGCTCCCTGCAGAGGACAACGTTGCAAACTTTATGGAGATTCAAACCTTCAGTCTGCAGAGCAGGGCAAAAAAAACAACCTGATGATAAAATGCAGAAAGTTTCCAACTTAGTCGCTATATTTAAAGACTTCCAATCCCTTTAGCAACTTTGTGACTTTGTGTTGTTGGAGACTTTGGGAATAATACGTGAAAACAGGTGGGAGTGAGCCCCCCCCTCCCCCTGGAGGGAGTCAAACGCAGCTCTGCAGCCAAAGCCTGCAGGCTGATCTCCTCCGGTTCTCTGACTGAAAGCCAGGTACACACACCCTGCTTAAATTGAAAATCAAGATGTTAAATATATATTATAATGTGATTGATACAGGTCTCCACTGTGTTTGATTCATGCATCAGAGGTCTATAGGTTCAGTCACATGTTCAGCTAAATGAGCCGTAATCATTAATATTCAGCTACAAGCATTTCTGCATTTTAAGGGTTTTGAAAAAGTTGACAGAACTTTCTGGGGGCAACGAAACGTCTATTAATGTCCGACTTTTCCACCAACAGAAAGTCGGCCATCTTGAGGACTGAGATTTGGTACAATGTTCTAACCAACCGGAACCTCCAACTAAACTCTACTACAGCGTTGGTCTAAACTCCACATTCCTCTCATCTACTGATGTGTCGTGTTTGAATTAACTCCATCTGAAGCTTCTGAGGGACAGACTTTAAATTCCTCATACAGACATTGGGGATCAAAGTGATTGAAAGATTTTATGTGTGCATTAATGAATATGGGCGGGGCCAAATTCAGACTTCTCCTCATAAATTAAAAGTTTTTTTCTCTCCAGGCTGAACTTTTACTGCGGATTAATTTACCAAGACCCATAAAAAGGCCTCTTGTTCCAATGGTCTGACCTCCACAGGAAGTCAGCCATTTTTAATCAAAGCTTTGGATTTACAGGCTTTAAATGGACAATTCATAGACTTAATGTATCACTGATTAAACGCTATCAAAATATCTTTCCTGCATGTTTGCATGTGTGAAGCATCAAAATTAAACTTGTTGTCAGGATCCACACCGGATTTCAGCTCCATTATGTTTGCGTTGTGTTATCTCCAACCAGCGAAAAACAAACAGGAATCAAGGCCAATATTTGGTGCACTCTCCACAGCGCCCCCTACGAACATGACCTAGCATTACATCTGACTTCCAGCCATCATGGTACTAGAAATTCCACAGAAGGGTATAAATCGGATTTGAGGCAAATCAGGGTTGGCGATTCCAGGTCTAAGGTCACCTGCGACTTTTAGTTTTTTATTTTTCTTTATGCTTTAAATTGATTCTAATGAAATGAACAGAAAGCAGCATTTTGGCCAAAACTGATTTTTCACTATTTTCATTTTATTTCACTTACATTCTAAACACTTTCCATAAAAATGGAAAAGAAGTTTGCAAAGTTTTTTTTTATTACTGGAAATTTAAACATAAATCTTTTCTCCTACAACTTGTAGAAATTCAAGGTTATTTTTTACTTTTATAATTTTTGCATTATAATGAGTTTATTTTTTTTTTCTGTTTTTTTTTTTTCATTTAATCAGCTTTTATTTTTCCTTCTTTTGTGTTTTTTTTATCTTTTTAAGTCATATTAAAGGTGCTACACAAAAATCTAGACTTTTACCAAAGTCGAATGCATAAAATAATTAATGGATAATATTTCTACAAACACATTCTACCAACTTCAGGTCAAACATGAAATAATATCTAAACATAAAACACTGAGATGCAAATAAATGACTGTAAATGGAAACCAGCTCTCTGTCCATCTATTGAAATCAACATGAAGGTAAATGATGAGTCTCACCCTTGCCAAACTGACCCCCCCTGGAACTTTATAAGGGACGTATTTCCTGTAGATGTGTCCCACCCGTGAGCAGGGGATGTCCTCCATCCGACCGCCACACATCCATACCTGGAGTGACATAAAGGGAGGGAAGTCAGCAGAGATCTGGATCAGAAAATGTTGCTTTATTTGTGCATCAGATGAACAGATTGGAGATTATAGAAAACACAGCACAGAATAACGAAAAGGCTAATGGCAGTTAGATCTAAAAGAACAAGATTAGCAGGACAGGAGGTTCTGGCATGGGATAATGCGAACCAGCAGTATCCAACACAAAAGTAGAGACAGAGGTGTAGACTTGGAGTCATTTCTGTCACCCTTCAGATATCTACAAACCACAATCTGTGATTGCAGCATTATTGAAATGGTTCAACACTTAAATTACACACAGCTGAGCGAGGAAAAGTCAATTGCTCTTAGAAGAATAAGAGGCTAGAATTGAAATTTGAAGCCAATTCAGAGGAGAGGAGCGAGCTTTTCAAGTACAAACAGCTCAGAATCTAAATGGCAAAGACTAGCTGATGAAAATGTTTATACAAACAGCAGACTGATGAGTGCAGTAAACACAGTCAGCCCAAAAACTAGCAAAGCTAATGCTACGGAAAAGGACACAGACTTTATAAACTCTGCAGAGAAAACTGCTGTTTATAAAGAAAACATTTTACAAACATTTCTAATGTCTTTCAGTTCAAGAAGATTTATAAACTGTCCTTCTAACGTATAAAGCCTAAATAACACCCTGTCTACTTTTAAGGCTAGGCTTAAAACTTTCCTTTTTGATAAAGCTTCTAGTTAGAGTGGCTCAGGT